ATCTGAAGAGTAATCGTGCCAAAGTAGATCTTTTTTGAATGAACTTTGGCTGAGATATGGAGTTTTAAAGAGCATGTTGAAATTTACCAAAAAAAGTTTAATACCAAACTAACTCGAAAACAAAAAACGCTAGGTACCAATAACTTTTATCAAAGTCAACCTGCTTTTTTATGTACAATTAAACTGTGTAATAAAAACTATAGCATTCCATTTAAAATAGCGAAGTTATGGTCTACTTCCGGTAGACCGGAAGTGGCGGCAATCTTGAAAGTATTTTAGATCGAAAGTTCCGAATGAACAACCCATGCTACCAAAATTTCAAATCTCTACGAATAGTAGAAAATGAAAAAGTTCTAACGAACCAGTTAGGTGAGACACCCTGTATAACAACCTTCCACTGAATCACAATTAAAACTAGAACTAACACTAGACCTAGAACTAGAAAGATTGTACAGTATGTCCACGGAAAAGGTGTTGAATAGGAAAAACTTTTTTATTTTTAATTTTATCGAAAAAAGTTAATCTTGATAAAAAAAATTGCTAGTTCTTAGAGTAAGATTGGGATAGAAACATTTAACATATTTTATACGCGGTGTTCAGAAAATTGAAAAAACCTTAAATGGTACAAAAGTAAAGTGCATTTATTTGAGAAGATAAGGAAATAAGTTACTAGGAAACGTTGTTCAAAAGTAACAGGTAGTCTCTAATACTAATTCTCGAAAAGATCGGCCTACTTTTATTTATTTGTGATCATTTTTGTACTAGTAGGCGTTGATAGTGATAAGCTTTATTGACACTTCGCTTTTATACTTTATTGGCCGTAGTATTGTCAGCTTAAAATGCTTACTTTACAGCAAAAAATTTACTTGGTGCAATGTTATGGGAAAGGCGAAAAATGTTATCGTCGAGTTATTCAGGAATTTAATGAAAAATTCTCCAATGTGTACGTTTCTGAGACTACTTGCCGTAAAATAATTTTGAAGTTTTCAAGCACTGGGTCATTGTTGCGAATACCAAGAGATACGATAAAAATGATGCAAGCATATTGTTGGCATTACATTCAGCAGAGGAACACCCGAAATTATCATTGAGAAGAAGAGCTGAAAATCTACAATTTGTTAAACTGTCGCAAATTCAGAAGATATTAAAACACAACAAGATACGTCCATAAATTCAGAAGCAAAATGTTTGGATTTTTGTGTGTGGATTGGCTGTATGGAAAGAGGATTTCATAAGAAAATAATGTTTTCTGATGAATCAACTTTTTCGACCAATTGTGTTGTGGCTTCACAACATGCACAATATTGGAAAGACTCTAATCTGTATTTTCGAATACCACGGAGGCGTCAGTACTGTGTTAAAGTAAATGTATGGTGCACCATTTCTTATTACGGAATAATAGAGCCATACTTCTTTGACACTACTTGTAATGCGAATAGTTATTTAGCTATGTTAAGAAATTTCCTCGACGGTGAATTAGACAATCTTCCATTATACAGTCGTTCGTTTCATTTTCAACAAGATGGATGTCCAGCACATTATTCGGCAACGGTTAGACAATGGTTAAACCATGCGTTTCCAGACCACTGGATTGGGAAACAAGGACCAGTTTAGTGGCCTCCTAGGAGTCCAGATTTAACATTAATGGATTTTTTCCTATGGGGCCGATTGAAACAAATTGTTTATCGCACACCTCAAATAAATGCCACTACTGATCAATTAAAGGATGCGATTAGAGATGCCGTTGCTTGAATATCTTTACATGAGGTTAGAAAAATACTGTAGATATGATAGCAATATAGCGCCTCGGCTTAATCAAATTAAATCATAAATTTTCTTGAAAACTGTAGAATTTTTGAATCTGTATCTGTCGACTTTTCCGCAAGCGACCTCGTGTACCTTATTATCAAGCATAGGTCATATTTATGATCCAATGGGGCGCTAAACATCTTATTCAGAAGCTTTGGCTCAAAAGATGGAATTGGGATGCTCTTCATCTCAGGAAATCCAGAATTATTGGCATCAATATAAAATCCAAGTTTCACTTCTGTCAAAATTTAGATTCCACGACAAATACATCGATTATCAAATGAGACTGTGGAACTTCATCTCTTCTGGGACGCCTCTTCAGTGGGCTACTGTCCGGTGTCCTATCTGCGCAGTACTTTATTTGATAGTACTATTAACCTAAATTTTGTCTGTGCTAAGTCTCCCCGTTGAAACTTATTTCCATATCTTGACTGGAGTTGTGTGGTGCTGTTCTATTGACGGATTTAGCAAGATTCCTGATGTCAAGCTTCCCATCATTCCTTAAACCGAAGATCTTCGCCTGGTGTGATTCCATGATAGTGCTGAATTGGCTTGATTCAGCTCCGCACCGCTGGAAGACTTTTGTTGCCAATCGGATAGGCCACATTCAGGACATCATCCCCAGAGATTGTTGGCATCATGTACCATCGCACGAAAACCCTGCCGATCCAGGTTCGCGAGGGCTTCTTCCCGCCGATTTGGTTCAGTGCAGGCTGTGGTGGCAGGGACCTGATTGGTTGTCACTCTCATCATCGAACTGGCCATCCAGACGGACCATTACATGCAACAATGAGGCCTTATCCGAAGAAAAACAACAAACTGTGACTCACGTAACAAAAAAACCTGATAACTTTCTAATTACCTTACTCAATCGCTTTTCATCTTTGAATAAAATTAAAAATATAACCGCATATGTTTTGAGATTTGTTTCAGGGTGTCGGAAACAGAACAAACATTATCACCAAGCTCTTTCCATTTTCGAAAAGCAACAGGCTTTACACACAATCGCACGTGAAGTCCAAAAGGAGTACTTTTCTGAACTATACNGTACACTCATCGTGTCCATCATCTCCACAACAAAACGATGATTTTGCGGACTCTTTCTTAGCAGATCCACCAGTAAGATTTATCAATACATTTAATTAAGAGGATGAATAAATAAATTATTTTTTAGAAACGTACCTGCGGAATAATCCGAAACTCCAACTTAATGTTAACTTCTAATAACGTCTTCGCCCCAAAGTTTTCACTTTCAAAGATTAACGTGAAAATTGAACCAGGAACGAGATTTCACCTGCCTCCAACTCCTCCGTCGTGTAGTAGCAGTGAAGATAGTGAGGATAATTCGCATTCGCCATGTGTTCGAAAGACGAATGCGCGTGTTATGGTTACACATACCACGAGACAACCAATTAATACCCCATTAATAAGTACTCAACCTGTAAGTAAATAAAAAATTAAAATTATTTAGAATTTTAAATTATTTTTGGTTATTTTGATAACAGAAAGGTTCAACTGGAACTTTGATATTAACAGAGGAAGAAAAACGAACTTTAATAGCCGAGGGATATCCAGTTCCAACTCGTTTACCGCTTACGAAAGCTGAAGAAAAATCGTTAAAGAAAATAAGGAGGAAAATTAAAAATAAGGTAATAATAATTTAAGGAAAAATTTAAGAATCATTATGTGGCTTAAAAATCGATGATTTTTTTTTAATCAATGTGAAATGATCCAAAAAACACGTTAAAAATAAAAAGAAAGCGGAAAAGTGTAGAACATACCGAAAAAGTCATATTAAAGTTTCGATGTGACGTCACAAGCAATATTAACCATGCAGTTTCCTACTAAACCGGTTAACACCTAACCTACAAATTGTTTATTTTCTAATAAAAGTAAAAAATAAACCTCTTATTTGCGTTTATTTAGATTTGCATCGATACTAGTTTCGAGGTATCACCTCATCAACAGTCGGAATTACAGAAAACTTAAAATAAAAAAGAAAAAAACGTTAAATTTAAAAAACTTACAGTCAGTGTTTCTGATGCTCACAAGCTAGAAAAACGGGGAAAATTTTAAATTTGAACATATTGAAATCAAATGTTAATGCGCAATAAATTGTGAAAAAATTTGAAGGTCAAAAAGGTTACAGAGGTTGAATACAAAATTTTGTGAAGTTAAATCTAAGAAATAAAACTAATTAAATTAAAATATTTAAAAAATACAGGTGCCCATTATGTATGGAATATAGCATATATCTTGGTAGGTATCAACTTTATAAAAAACCATTTTATACAAAAGTTGTTTAATATTTTATTTGCCATAATAAGACTGTCTTCACTGTTTTTAATTCAGAAAACAAATGAGTAACGAATAATACTTTAATTTTTTTAAATGGCAATGTATTCTTTCGTTAGGCTCATTTGATAGAGATTACTTTTCTCTTTACGATAGCGTAAAATTTCTGTACCCTTACATTAGAAAATTTTTGAAAAAAATGTAATAATTGTTTATTAAGAAAATTTAACTAATAACATTAATCTAGATATCCGAGATCGTCAAGTACCTCGAATTTCATCAAACCATTTCATTTGATACCGCTCTCATAAAAATCGGAAGGTAAATGACAGAGTTACAGCTTGCGGCGTTCTTGTGTGACAACCTGTATATACAGGTGTCTTTTCTCTGCTAAAATTACATTCAAAATGGATGTATTGTACATCAATAGATTCAGAAAAACAATCTCTATCCTATAAGAAAAATATATGAAACAATTTGAAAAACAAAAACTAATAATTGAACTGAAGATGGCCTTGGAAAAAAATTAATTTGTAGCATGAATCATAGTATTCGTCAAACCATTTCGTTTGATGCCTCGGTCATGAAAATCGGAATGTAAATGACATAGTTACAGCTTGGGGCGTTTTTTATCTGACACCCTGTATTATCCATACATAATGGGCACCCTGTATACAAAAACTTACGAAAACAGTGAAAACGAAAAAAGAAGAGAGCTGCGAGATTTTCAACCAAATAAATGACCGAAAACGATAAATGAAAGTTTGAAAAACTTTGTTAGAAGTCTCGCAGCGATGCGCCGGAGGAACGAGAAGAAAATAGACTGAACCGATCGTACAAAGGAAAAACAACAAGTTCAGACNAATTCTCGAAAAGATCGGCCTACTTTTATTTATTTGTGATCATTTTTGTACTAGTAGGCGTTGATAGTGATAAGCTTTATTGACACTTCGCTTTTATACTTTATTGGCCGTAGTATTGTCAGCTTAAAATGCTTACTTTACAGCAAAAAATTTATTTGGTGCAATGTTACGGGGAAGGCGAAAAATGTTATCGTCGAGTTATTCAGGAATTTAATGAAAAATTCTCCAATGTGTACGTTTCTGAGACATTGCACTGGGTCATTGTTGCGAATACCAAGAGATACGATGATAATGATGCAAGCATATTGTTGGCATTACATTCAGTAGAAGAACACCCGAAATTATCATTAAGAAGAAGGGCTGAAAATCTCCAATTTGTTAAAATGTCGCAAATTCAGAAGATATTAAAACACAACAAGATACATCCATACAAGCGAGTTTTTAATCATGTTTTGGAAGTCGGCGATGAAGCAAAATGTATGGATTTTTGTGTGTGGGTTGGCTGTATGGAAAGAGGATTTCATAAGAAAATAATGTTTTCTGATGAATCAACTTTTTCGACCAATCGTGTTGTGGCTTCACAACATGCACAATATTGGAATCTAATCCGCATTTTCGAATACCACGGAGGCGTCAGTACTGTGTTAAAGTAAATGTATGGTGCACCATTTCTTATTACGGAATAATAGAGCCATACTTCTTTGACACTACTTGTAATGCGAATAGTTATTTAGCTATGTTAAGAAATTTCCTCGACGGTGAATTAGACAATCTTCCATTATACAGTCGTTCGTTTCATTTTCAACAAGATGGATGTCCAGCACATTATTCGGCAACGGTTAGACAATGGTTAAACCATGCGTTTCCAGACCACTGGATTGGGAAACAAGGACCAGTTTAGTGGCCTCCTAGGAGTCCAGATTTAACATTAATGGATTTTTTCCTATGGGGCCGATTGAAACAAATTGTTTATCGCACACCTCAAATAAATGCCACTACTGATCAATTAAAGGATGCGATTAGAGATGCCGTTGCTTGAATATCTTTTCATGAGGTTAGAAAAATACTGTAGATATGATAGCAATATAGCGCCTCGGCTTAATCAAATTAAATCATAAATTTTCTTGAAAACTGTAGAATTTTTGAATCTGTATCTGTCGACTTTTCCGCAAGCGACCTCGTGTACCTTATTATCAAGCATAGGTCATATTTATGATCCAATGGGGCGCTAAACATCTTATTCAGAAGCTTTGGCTCAAAAGATTGAATTGGGATGCTCTTCATCTCAGGAAATCCAGAATTATTGGCATCAATATAAAATCCAAGTTTCACTTCTGTCAAAATTTAGATTCCACGACAAATACATCGATTATCAAATGAGACTGTGGAACTTTATTTCTTCTGGGACGCCTCTTCAGTGGGCTACTGTCCGGTGTCCTATCTGCGCAGTACTTTATTTGATAGTACTATTAAACTAAATTTTGTCTGTGTTAAGTCTGGGGTTGCCCCGTTGAAACTTATTTCCATATCTTGACTGGAGTTGTGTGGTGCTGTTCTATTGACGGATTTAGCAAGATTCCTGATGTCAAGCTTCCCATCATTCCTTAAACTGAAAATCTTCGCCTGGTGTGATTTCATGATAGTGCTTAAATGGCTTGAATTGATTGAATTTGACGCTGGAAGACGTTTGTTGTAAATCGAATAAGCCATATTCAGGACATCATCCCGAGACATTGTTGGCGTCATGTACCATCGCGCAAAAACCCTGCCGATCCACTTCAATGCAGACTGTGGTGGCAGGAACTTGATTGGTTATCACTTTCATTCTCGAATTGGCCATCCAAACTGACCATTACATGTAACAACGAAGCTTTATGTACTGTTCTTAAAGACTATGCAGTTTTGATATTGATGTAGTATCGGCGTAAGGCGTAAGACTTGTAGCGATTGCAAGTGATAAGGCTTCTGCTTCAGGTTGTTCCATAACATCTGCTCAATGTTCTTTGATTACACAATATGTATGTATATATAATATTCGGCTTTTTATTCACTCACTGCAACCGTTCTCCATCAATATCTCTTTGAAATACCGGACTCAGGATAATAACGCTGTTTAATCACTTAAGGAGCGAATTTTTATCAGCTTTCTATATTAAAATGTCTGATTTTTTTGTTGTATGTTGTTTCTTAATAGACAAATATGGTGCCATAAGCAGATTTTCAAAAAATGATAAAATTAGTGAAAAAAAGATATTCAAAGTTTGTATCTCACATTTTTTTAGGTATTATCGTGTGGCCCATCCACACTAATACAACAAACACCTAAACTACACATTAATACAATTGCCACGTCTAAAGGCTTATTGGAGTATCAATATTTTATATTCCAATAAAGTGAAAAATGTGATGCCAAGAAATCGATTTGAACAGCTATTGTAGATGTGGCATTTCAACAATAACGAAGATGCAAGTTTTTCTAATGATAGATTCCGAAAGGTGACACCGTTGATGAAAAAAATAGCAAAAAGATTTCAAAACGTTCTTACGCTCGACTCCTGCATATGCCTTGATGAAACGTTAGTGCCCTTCCGTGGACGTCTAAGGTTCAAACAGTACATAAAAAACAAGAAACATAAATTTGGCATAAAGATATACATACAAATTATGCACCACAGGTGGATACACATATGATTTCCAGGTGTACCGTGGAAAAGATGATCAAGGAGGTGGGAATGCTTCTTCAAATGTTGTTTTATCGTTACTAAAGAACCTTCTAGAAATAAAAGCCCAAAAAAAACACTTGTGGTATTGTAATGGTAAAATGAAAAGATGCTCGTGATGTGTTGTTACTCACAACAAAACATACTGACGAAATCATTTGAGTTCAACAACATGAAACGAAAATAGAACAATTTTTAGCTATTTTTGACTAGGTACAATAACTCGAAAGTTTATATTTACTTATCTGACTACGTAAAAGTATATTCACATTGCCTGAGAACAGGTACTAAATGGTATCGAAAATTAGCTATTGAACTAATTTTAGATTCTGCATTGGTCAATGTATTTTTTTATTCAAAGAAATTACACAGAGTAAGATTGTCGTCATTGAATTTCGAGAACAGTTTGCCGAAACACTCTTATCTACGAGTAACCTGCCTGCGGAGCCTGAAGAAACAAATAACTTACAAAAATTGAAAGAACACAAGAGAAATCGATGTGTAATTTGCTATGCCAACAATACAGAACAGTTCGGTAGAAATGTAACTCAAAATAAAGCAACCAGAAGCAAGTAGTACTGTCTAGGTTGTAATAAGAATTACTGTGTTCTATGTCTTTTTTTTATACATAAAGCAAAAAAAATTTAAAAATATTATCGTTTGGGTTGGTCAAAAATACATAATTATTTTTTAATATTTATAGTTTTGAAGTTTTGTCATAAATCCTTATAAAATACACTGTAATTATAAAACATATATAAGTATTTTTGA